ATGCTTCACTGCCGTACAACCATGACTTATTTGAAAGCCTTATTGTAAAGAAAAGAATAAAGGTGGATGGGGGAGGGACTTAGTGCTAGCTTAACACAATCATTCCGAGGTGCCTACACCTCCAGACATTCACTCAGGCAATCTGGACAGAAACTGACAACAAGAACGCCATTGACATCGGTTGGCAGCCATATCTTGTAGTGTCTCCGACCAGGCACAGTGAGGATACCGCGGTCCCCATCCTGGAAGGCGAGTAGCACCGACAGCACCCAAGCGTTTCGTGATCTCCTTCATACTCCTCTGCCAAGTCAAAGGTTGGCGACCGCTCTGTTTACGTCACTCCGAATTGGGCATGGAAAACAGCACTCTCTTCGGCAAACGATGGTTCGGCATACGCAACACATGTCCCAACCAACGCAGCTTCTGGTGCTGGACACATTCTTCAATGGAAGTACCCGTTACACAACCGAAAACACGCTTTCTAACTACCTCGTTACGGATTCGCCGACACCAACCCACACAAGCTATGGTTCTAAGACAACGATTGTCGAACACCTGAAGACGTCTCAGGTCCGCTGCTCAAATAGGCCAAGTCTCACGGCCATACAACATAACAGCCCGTACTGTAGCTTGATACACACGTCCCTTCAGATTCAGGGATAAACCATTCTGACGCCATAGGTGTCTCAAGTTAGTAAACGCCGCCAGAGCCTCATCTGTCACACTACAGTCAGAACTAATACAACTTCCAAGATACGTTGTTGGTTGGTATATAATATTTGTAGTGCCACAGGAAAACGTGCGGATCAGTTCCAGTGTAATGTCTGAGGCGCTGTGCTAATCCGTGATTACTTTCAGAACTAATACAACTTCCAAGATACGTGCAGTGTTGGTATATAATATTTGTAGTGCCACAGGAAAACGTGCGGATCAGTTCCAGTGTAATGTCTGAGGCGCTGTGCTAATCCAGGAGTGATTACTTGCTTTCTTGATCTTACACACGAAACAAGATATGTAAATTTCTGGTTTCGAGCCAGTATTTCAGGGGCCATCATGAAACAACGAAGGACAAGTGACGCTAAGAGTCTCGTTACGGAATTTAAGCAGATCCCCCACACTCACCACGGCCCATTTTTTTTAAATTGGGTACAATCACCGATTCTCCCACCTGTCTGAGACAGTCTCTTTTTTCCAGATGCAGACAAATAGATAAAAAAAAAGCTCTGACTCAGGATTTTATTCCCATCCTTGAACGGGTGGTAGGCCATCTAGACCAGCGGCTTGGTGGCGTTTGAGGACATATGCTGTCATGAAACTCCGAGAACGTAAGGAGTTTCAGGCTTACTGTCTAAGTCTTCACTGCACTTCCAGGATCCAAATGAGAGCGCCAGGTGACCACGAGAATCGCCATTTTAAGTGATCGACCCAGTAATCGACCAATTCTTCTTTTCTGAACATAGTCACGTCATTTTGGTTCATTGAAATTAAAATACAGATTCGCAAAATAAACCCATTTATCATCCAGTTTGGTTTTCACGGAGGACGCAACTGAATCCCAGCTGAATCTCCCTTTTATAATGTCCTTAAGCAACTAAATGCGCTGTATCAGGCCGCTTAATGTTTCGGCTGGTACGATATTCGAGATATCGCAGTGTATCTTTTTGAAGGAAACTACTCGTAAGGTTGCGGAAAATTCATACACGACAGATTCAGCTTGGATTCAGTTGAGCCTCCCTTTAACACCGACTTAATTTGCCAATGGGTTTACCTTGACAATCGCGTACAATGTGGTGTTCAAGTAGAACACAAGGTTGATGGAAACTCAGGCACTAGCATACCTGATAAGCCCCAAGAAAAGCAAAAAAGGTCAGTGAGCTGTCGACGTTTTCAACAATCCGACAAGTGTGGTGTCATGTTGAGTCAGATAGTGTTACTATAAATTTGAAAAAAGATACGGCTTATCCACCATTCAAGTGAAGGAAAGCAGACAACCATCCAGAAGTCCGTCTACTCTGGATCTCACGTAAAACCTTGGCACGCATTCTACTCAGTCGTGGGGGGGGGGGGGTTAAGTTGAGAAGCCCCTGAAGAACAATGCAGATTCGGAAGCGGAAAGTGTATGAACGACTTCCCCTTTGCACCCCTTCAGATGCAAGAAAAATCCAGAGGACAGACCCAAGTGTTACAACTCCAGTCATAGATATCAAGAGAGCATGTGATTAGGGAGGTGCTGTGTATTCTCTGAAAGCACGACACACCGAAAAACTGTCAACCCCCTCAACTCGGTGTGAGAACTACAGTCCGTACTTGCAGAACCATCTGTATAGAGTTCGAAATCGGCAGAAGGAGAACCAACAATGCCCCTTGGGCTCCTAGTTTCAATGTTTCCATCTCCAATCCCAGCGGAAGCAAATTCGATCCCGCAGAAAATGTACCGAATCGTTTGTATGGATGTCCCACCGACTCTAAACGCCTCATAGCCGAATCAAAGACCCATATGCTTGTTTTGGTGGACGAAACACGAACAGAACATGGATGATCTACCGAAGGTACGTTAGAGTAACTGGCAGATATCACCTAGAATGCCTGTACAGGATACCCGGGATTTAATGAAGTTTCCGAACGAGTGAAGACCAACGGGGTTGAACAAACCTTGGTGCACCAAAACTGATTGCCGACAACCGCATCTCAAACCAAGTCATCTACGATCGCCTGGCTAATGGAATTCCAACTCGAACTCGATACCATTTAGGTATTACTCCCATGCTCCGCAACCCGGTTAGCCTCCGGGTAAGTCCGAAAAATCGCAAGCTTCACTACAGGTTTCTGGAGACTCTGAAATGTGACGCAGCATTTCGGTGAACCATCATCCGTACAGGGTTGAAAAGCTTCAAAGCAGGATTTACCTCAACTTCGAACGCAAGCGGGCCATTGAAAACGGACGTAATACAGTGAGTACCGTCACAACCTCATATACTTGTGCAGCATGTAGGTAAGCATGCCTGAGGAGAATGTGACTCGTTTAACCCCGGTATACTCTCTTTAAACCACCATGAAGGTATCAGTGAATCCATTGGGCTAAGTTTTCTCTTATTATAGTAGTTCAAATCTACTGTATTATGAGATGGCAGTGCCATTAATCATTCACCTAAAAAAATCGTTCGACCGTAACACCCTCTCGGTGCCTACCTGCCATGCCCTCCGGAGGAAGCACGAGGGCTGGGATACTTCCAGTTTGCCCAAACTTAGACAGGGGATATTGAAAGACAGATGTCGGGCTCGAACCATGGACTTTTCGGCCAGTAAATTTGCGCTCTAGCCACTGAGCCGTCTCGCCCCAACCATTCATCTGTTGGTCCACAGACCGGCTATCCATCCCTACTTAAATAGCGCGACGATGGGCAATTTTCGAAAGAAACATCTCAACGAGTAAGCCGAAAATTGTGCTTCCTTGGGACAGGCTCACTGCCAAATTATACTTCAACGGATCGGCTGGAAAAGCCCCTTCCTAGAGGCAGCCTCTTCTGGAGATGGTTCCCCCAGAAGCATCAATATTCACATGCGACTGAAATAACTGGAGATGACAGCCCGAACCTAGGCTGTTGGACAATTAAATAATATCAAGAAATGCGTGTTTCAGCCAACCAACATTCTTCAGACATGTTGCGTTTCTGTCAATCCATATGTATATATGTATACGTAGAGGATACTGCATTTTCCATTTATTTATTTACTTCAGTGCTACGGACAAATCTTTAAGGCCGCCCGCGCGCTTAAGACTGGGTCTCTTAACTCCTCTTGATCCACAAATTCAATCTTCATCTCTCTTCCACCTAAGGGTTCAGAAGTTTGTCCTCATATTGCAAAGCTCATCCAAAATTATTGTATCTAAGGAACGCTAGAGCGTCTTGACAAGGGTCACGAGAGAAGAGTGGATGAGGGGGGAATAAAAAGATTCTTTTCATATAACTAGTCTCAATATTTCTCTCATTCGAGACTTATTTCAATCACAGGGTCCCAATCCGAGTTAACGGCAGACGACGTTTATGGATCATTCGTACTGAAAAATCTGTGAGGGACAGCCTCTCACAAAGTTCGACTGGTCAAACAGCAGTTCGAAATGGGATCTGCTGGGAATTACCATGTACCACAAGATATCAGCGTCCTGAATAGCATTAATGACTGATCAGTGTAGCAGTGAAAGACCATTAATACTTTTCTTGTTAAGATGGCTTTGCCGAGGAGTGATGCACTCCAGCAGACCTCCATGTCCACAATTTAGATGTGTTCACTTCGCGATCGAGACTTTCCAAAGATTGAACCAATTGCCACTGACGACGAGTTGCACAATCGTGTACGTCGTGAGCGGAAGCCAACCAGCATTGTTCATGGCTCAGCGTCTAAACAGCACGATTATTCTTTTTCAGGTTTGTCTGTCAGCCCGTTTAGACATTCAGATCATTCAGGAGGAGGGAACGATTGGTTGATCGAATAGATTTAATGACGAAAAGGGTGCCAGAAGTGACTGGGGAATTCATTTATCCGAGTAGTTGCATCATTTCGGATGGCAGTTTTCCTGATGAAGTGGGTGTTATGTTCCTCAGGTTATGTACTGTATTTATTCAATTCAAACATCCATGGCGACGGTGTGTTGGTCTGTTGATGAACAGCAGCACTGTGTCACTGCTGCTTTATGGATCTCAAGCCTGGCCATTGCGACTTCTTAACTTTGGCCATTAAAGCGTGTACCTCAGGAACGCCCAGTTAACATTGTTGAAGTGCGATTTATGCTCTGCGACAAAAAAATCTGGCTTAAGTGAATGTGATATGATGCTGCCGAACAACCTGCGCTTGCTATGTTGATTTTTCATATTCCAGGTAACGGATCTTATCGTCAAGCCGTGTTTTCTCAAACCTACTTCGAGTAGAAGTCAGGCTAGATAAAGCATGGCCTGGCAGTGAATTCTATGAGACCTAGCAACTGGTCCGAGCCGTCTGCGAGTAATCATTATCAGAGACAGCAACAACGGTGTTGACACTGACGCTTCACTATGTACAAGCGCAAAGTTCGTCCATGTTTAAAGCCTCAGAGTGAAGGGAACGGAAATACGTGGATGGGAGAGGGAATCTGCTGCCGGCCCAGGACAAACATTCAGAGTGTCCACATCTACAAGTACTCAATCAGATAATCTGGAAAATAACTGACAGCATGGACGTCATTGACATGAATTAGACGCCACTTCTTGCAATGTCTGCAGTCAATTACCAGAGAGGTGGAGGTCACGGGGACCCTA